TTTACGTGGTCACTGCCCCCACGGTTGGCACAAGTTATCTCCTGAGTAGCTTGAACGGGGCAGAGTTTTTCAACAGTTCTGGGCCTCAGCAATGAAGATCCGAAAAGTCTCACCTACTTTCATCCTGTCTCTCTCCCTCTCTGCATCTCCCTATGATCAACCAAATGGTAATACTATTTCAGATACAAGTAGAGAGACAAAGGTAAGAAGCAAATGCGGGAGAGTGGAGAGGTGATAGGAGGGCAGTCCAGTGAATCCCCTTATGTTATGACTAACAGAATCCCTAGTACTTAATGGTTCTCAATTCATAGGAAATTGTTGGAGATTTGATGTAGTTCCATATGTCCTCATCATACCACAAAGAGGGTTATCATATAATTGGTGGCAAAACCATCAAATGAAATGCCATAATCAACACACCCATTAATATGCTATCTAGAAATTATTAGAATGATTTTTATGAATGAAATGTGTCATAAGTAATGACTAGGTAAGGAATTTACATGATATCTACCCATTAGCTTCCTTAGATAATAAAAAAGTACATGGTATATTTTACATATGACCTACATATTAAATTACTGCTCTACTTGAATATTTTTAATATTACTTTTTGCCATTTTATATACCAAGTTGAAAAGACAATCAAAGATGTTTAGTTGTGTTTTCTTCATTTACATGATTTCTCCATTTACTAGGGCAATGGACTAAGCATTAGTAGAGATTTAACAAATTTATCATCACATTTTCTTTTAAGGTATGTATTGGAATGGTTATCATTTACCTCATTTACAAGTGGAAAAACTGAGTTCCAGAGAAATCAAACTTGTGTTAGTGAGCGTCAATAATTTGATCTACCACTAGGAATCCATTTAAGTACTCCATCACTCAAAGGACCCCTCTCATATTATCTCCCTCAGTGAGACTTATAGAATGAATCAGACATTAGCCACTGATTTACCGGATATTCTCATTGTGTTAGATTAAATAATAGTCCACCCAATGTCCATAACCCAATCTTTGGAACCTGTATTACTTCATATGACAAGAGGAACAAGGAACTTCACAAGTTTTATTAAGAATCATTAGATAGGGAGAATATCTGGGATTATTAAGGTAGGTCCTTAAATGTAATCATATGTATTCTTACAAGAAGGATATAGAAAGACATTTGACCACAGACAGAGAAGAAGATAATGTGAAGATGGAGCAGAAAAAGATTTGAAGATGCTAAGCTGCTGGCCTTGAGATAAAAGAAGGGTCTACAAACCAGGGTGTATAAGGCTTGCATCTCCAGAAACTGGAGAAGCAAGAAAAGGATGCTTCTCTAGAAACTCTGGAGGATATTTAGTTCAGATGACACCTTGATTTCTGTCCAGGAAATTCATTTAAAATCCCTACCTCTAGTAGCATAAGAAAACAAAAACATGAGTTGTTTAAAGTGTCCAGATTTATGACTGATTTGTTACAGCAGTCACAGGGAAATAATATAGTGATACATAAAGGATTCTGGGAAAATTCTTACTTGGTCAGGTACAGGCCAAACTGCATTATGAAATTTCAACTTGGCTACCAATTTCAAGTTAACTAGCCAGATACTCATTTGGTATTAGGATTCCTCAGTGGCAAAGGCATGGAAGCAAAGGGAGCCCTTTGAATCACATCCACTTACTACACAAACATCACATTGGCTGACACCTTTGTAACCCCAGGAAGTCAGGGAAAGAGCTGGAACTCTTCAATCCAACTAGTAACTTAGAGAAAAGGGCCAGAATCTCCCAAGGCAAGGAGAGCATTTACAGCTTCATTAAAGGTTACTAAGTTGTATGACTCAAGAAAATCACTGGCAACCTATTCAGACATGAATTCCATTTGTGTGGTTTTAACCACAAACCTCTGCAGATATTATATGACATGGCAACTATGGAACCTCTCACATTTTAGAGTCCAAAATAGTTCTCTACTACTTTGGTTCACAATATGAACCCAAGTAAAGATTATGAGATCGTCAACACTCTTGGATGATATCATCATAACTCAGCTTTCAAAGCCCTCCTATAATGAACCTCTGGTTTATTTACAGATGACTTAATTCATTTTATTAGGTAGTTAAAGAGATAAATGAGCACTGATCTTGGAATCAAGAGCTTAATGCCCTCTGATCAGGCAAGGGGACACAATCTAAAGAATGAAAGTTGAAATAATGGAAGGTCAACTAGGCTTTAAAAATGGTACTCCTGACCAATTTAAGAATGTTATAATTTTTACTTCTGCTTTCCTTATTGGACTCACTTTGCTCTCAGTGATGCAACAATACGAAGTATCAGCTTCCGATTACAAAACATCAAAAGAAGTCAGATATCTTGTGATGGTCTCAGTGGTTTCCAAGACAATACAGCACATATTTTTCATTTCTCCCCCAAGACTTAAAACTGAGTCTTATAAACACAAGTACTACAGTAATGAGTAGCATGATATTAAAATTATATGGCTACAAATAGTTCAATGTGAGGTACGATCACATTATTGTTCTCAGAATATAAATAAAGTCACAGGGACTCAGGACAAGGAGTAAGGCAATGCAGTGGATAAGAATACTGCTTGGAGGTTACACAGCCAACATTTAAAACTCAGGTCCCACAACTAGCTGAGTAACTTGGCATAAATTACTTAATTTTTCTGAGCTCCATATCACTAATCTTTAAAATGAACATAATAGTACATATCTCCTATGACTTTTAAATATATGTATAAAATATGTTACAGGTTCTTAGCCTGAAAAATACTAAGGACTCAATAAATGTCAGCTACTTTTAGATGACCATGAGGTCACTAAGAATATGAATTGAAATATTTCATTAAATTATAATTTGTAATTTGTCATAATCTGGCTTGAAAATAATTGAAGGGAAAAGAATAAAGACATTTTAGATATTGAATTGGTTACTAAAAATTTTTAAGAAAAAAAATGAAACATGTTTTACAACAATAAAAAACAATGCATATATATTAAGCATTGAGCAGGTGAAAGTTTATACAAGAGAAAATCTTCCTGTCACTGAAGACCTTCAATTCCATTCTACAGCAGACACCATGCACAGGTACACATACAAACATGTACTCACACCCACACACGTTGGCATGTGTGTGTGTGCTTGTGCTGGTTTCTGTGCTTGTAATAATCTCCCAGTTTGACTCCTTGGTTTCCTTTTAGCTCTTTTACCAGAAATTCCTCACCCAGCACAAAGAGTAAGTCCTCAAAATATTAAATTCTGTCAAATCATTTCCTTGCTTAAAACACTCCACCGGTTTCCCATCATTAAGTAAAATAGAAACTCCTTACTCTAGATGACAAAGAGATACATACTCCAGCTTTTGCTTCTCTTCCTAACCTTATCTGCCTCCATTCACCCCCAACCACGCTCCAGGCTTGCTGGCTTTCCCGCCCTATGGGGAAGATCCGGGCCTTGGGGCCTCCTTCACCCTGCCTCCTCGGCTCTGGGTGCTCTTCCTCCTGAACTCCGCAAGTTATATGTCCATTTTTTCTTTATTCACATCTCAGAAAAAAACTGGACTCCTAAATGAGGATTTTGCTCAGTACCCTGTCTTTTTCTATCATTTCAACACATTTGGAGTCTTTACATAGTACTTAACTGCACTGTGTATTTTCCTGTTTTACTTGCTTCGTTTTAGTTATTTACATTTGTTTATATAATTACTAGCATCCCTAATCCCTAGAATGGATGATCCTTGAGAGCAGGACTTGGTTTTTCACACTCCCTATGCCTCCTTCTGTTAGAAAAATGTTGGAAAAATAATAAATACTTAGTAATACCTAATACATTTTTTTGTGGAAAGAATGGATAAATGAATGTGAATGAAGACTATTTGGGTTCTTTTTTCCAAGTAATTTAAAAATGTCACTAACATCATCTTTGTGCATACATCCTTATATATGTCCAATTAAATGCTAAAAGTATAATTACTGAGTCAAAAGTATGTGTAATTTAAATTTTGATAGTTATTTCCAAATCACATTTTAGCAAGTTGTATTAATTTACATTTTGAGTGGATTCCCTGAGATTTCTTTTAAATAAGTGTATGACATAGTATTTGATATCCATTTTCTCAGTTTAGAAGCTTGGGACACTTTGTAATGCCATAACCTTAAAATGCAAACACGCCAGTTAATGGAGTTAGTGCAGAAGTCCACTTTAGGTCTTTTGAATACCTGAAGAATCCAATTATTGACAACTGGGGGTGGTTTCAGTGAGAAGCAGGCATGACTGACTTTCAAAGAGCTCTCAATATCCAAGAATCTTCTGTTTGAATTTTTAGCAGTGAACAAAAGTCTTCCTAATACATACTCATCATGGTCTTCTCCAAGTGTGTACATGTAAGTCACAATAATATAAAAATCTTAGTTTATGAGGATTGGATTAAGAGATGAAAATACAATGGCAGAAACAAGTATCTTATTCTAAAAGGTTCTCAAATTCATGAGCTTATTCTCACCAGCAAAGATTTATTTTTCTTGCCCTTTTAGTCACCTACACCAACATATCCTCAGATTTCTAAGTTGCAGTCATTTGAAAATACTCTACTGATGAATTTATAGCCTTATATTTTTATCTACAGGACTGCATCAACCAAATCACTGATGAAAGTTGTGAAATCCAGACTCCATTAACTTCCCTGTGCCATTTTGAAACGTATCCTCTTCTAGTACAAAATTAACCAACCACATTCATAAGCAACAGCCACAAGGAATCCAGAAAATAAAACCAGAGACATACATATACTGTCTCCACACAGCCGCATTCCAAAAAGTCCACAAACCTATTTCACCTAAAAATAACCTTAAGTAAAATATCAATTTCACAAGTCATCAAAACATAACATTTAAACACTTAATATTCTCTATTACTCAACTTTTTTCACTCCAAAGCAGCATATTCTTGCCTTAACAGAAGTATAACATTGGAATTACAGCCCAGTGAATACAGAGTTACCAACTTTGGATTCAAAATGTACCTGCAGGAAGTTTCCAATTTACTCAAGACAGAAAAATGGGGTACTTACAGCAGGGTGTCCAGTACAGTAGGTGTAGCTGGCATGGGACTGGTAGTGTAAGCTTGCTCTTGGAAAGGAGTATGTATTCCAGGCTGGTTGGCTGCTGTTCCACTGCGAGCTGAAACCAGGGCTCATGGTCACCCGTGACTTACTAGTCTGATAGGCTCTCACTGCGGAGCTAGACTATCAAGAAGAAAGAAATGTAATGTCAAGTCAGTGAACCCCAGTGAACTGTATATATAGTAGCGTGTATTCTCATGTATGATCATACCGTCACCTGATTAAGGGAAATAGCTGATTTCTTAAGAGGAAGCATTATGTGTTGTGCTGGATAGGATGAAAGTGTTTCTCACTATTGGGATTTTGACTGCATCCGAAGCCTACTGAAAGCAGCTTTTTCTAGTTGCAACATGCAACTCCATCCTTTGGAAAAATGAGATGTGTTTTAGCAGTGACAACAAGGGTGATATTTTCATTCAATGACATACTATCTTTTCATAAGTGTTCACCTTAGAAATTCACCATTAGTTTCAGCTGAATGCAGTAAACAAAAAGCTTAGTTTACAAGGATTGGATTGAGGCACAGATTGGTTCCTAACTCTGAATAGTCTTCAAATTCCATGATTCTATTGCTTGCCTGGGGAGACATCAGCAGAAATCTGGACATATTCCAACATGTCTCCATTCCACTGCCTCGAGACAGCAAAATGATGAAAGATTTGAAATCATCATTTACTCCCTACTGGCCTTTCCTATGTAATTAAAAATAGAGGACAAGGAAAGTAGCAATCAATTTGCCAAATGTTAAATTTATCTGGTTGTCCATAATTGTATATAGGATAGAATGAAAAACAAAACTCATTTGTAGCTTCTATCCTCTTTGTCCTCAGATGGCCATGGAATATAAGGCATACAATCGTTTCTTTTCTGAGAACACTTTCTATCATCAAATTGTAATAGCTACTTACCCAAGGAGCACAGTAACTTTCACAATAAATTCTATTTATAGATATGGGCATATGCCAACTCAATCACTGGGAAAATGTGCTAATCTCATTGCCATTATATTCAGGAAACCTTAGGGGGAAGAAACTTTTATCCAAGATTGCATTTCCCACTGCACTACATTCTAATACCAATAGTACTTAGAGAAACAAAATTGCTGAAGACAGGTTTGGGCATCTTGGAGTAATCAAAGGAAAGATGGGCCTCAGCAATGCAAATGCATCAGGTAGGAACATTTCTCTTACAAGAGCATCAACATTTTTGAAAAGGGACTACATTTAAATCAGTGATGAATTAATAATTAACAACTTACAAAATTTGAACTAAAATCTGGAGAATACTCTAATTAAGTTACACACATATATCCGGTTATATGTCTTTCCCCACTCTCTTTTCCATCATCACCCTAAGCATGCATGCTAGCTAAGCATTTAACAGTTCAATGAAATGTAAAAATGTAGCAAGACAAAGGTATATACCACTGTATAGCAAGGTCTTTGCCAGGTCCTGTGACAAATCTCTGTTGGAGAAGCAATGGTAAAGTTGTATAAAAGTGTGATAATTATACTAATTATACTAATTTCTTGGTGTGTGTGTGTGTATATATATATACACAATACACATATGTGTATACATGTATACAATACACATATGTGTATACATGTATTTACATTTATAATATGTATATAATTATATATTATATGTATGTATGTATTTACATTTATAATGTGTATATGATCATATGTATTATATTTGTGCTACATGCAAAATCACTTCAAAGGCTAAATGAGTTTACCCCTAAATCAGCTTTTAGACCCAAGGTAACTTGGTTTCTGCTCTGAATCTGTGGTCATTACAATAAACCACTCATTAGCTCAATTGATTACCAACCACAACTTCTTCAAGAGTGCACCTGGTTAAATCTATTACCTGTTCAGGAATCTTAAAATTATTAGAAAAGCAGATGGATACATATATATGTAAGTAAGTTTGAAAATATCCTCATTTCTTATTTTAATTATATTCCCCCATAGCTTCAATCTCTGCCATAATTTTATACATGCTGGTCTTCTTTTTTGTTCTTCTTTTGCAAAGCCATCTTAAGTTATACTTCTTACTTGGTTCAATTCCTGATGCCTCTGGTTTATGACGACCCCTTGCCTTCCTACTTTCACATGGATCTCAAAGTGCGGCTCAAATATTTTAGCACATAATTATGTTGCTTTAATTGTTCCCTATGTGTGTAAATTTCAGCACTCCAAACAGGCTGAGAGCCTAATGAGGTTGAGATCATGTATTGCTTTTTTCACAGCTCAAGGAGTCTTCATCCTCCTTGACATTTGATGGCTCTACCAGTGTTTATCCTCTCATCATTACAATCATATTTCCCTTTGACTCCATGGCCCCTCTATCTGTACCTTCTTGTCTCACCTACTTGTTTCTCCTCTCCTTTGTTCTGCCTTAACAAGGTCTTTTGCCAGGCCTTAATCATCAGTGCTGTGTTCTTTAGTCTTTTAACGTTCTTCTTTTGTGATCTTATTCATTGCCAAGACTTTAAGTAATACTTCTAAGAAAATGACTTTCAGATGTAATTTAACAGTACAAAAACTCTCCTAAATTTGAGGTCCAAATCTTAAAAATATCTTCTGGATATGGATATGTAACAATTAATCACCACAAAGAGAACTAAAGTTTAAATTACTGTATATAGACTTAACCATTTTTTTGCTACTATTTGCCTTCCCATAATTTATTTATTTCTGGTAATGAAATGGGGATATTTTGAAACCAACAGCATTGAAATCTTAGAACAACATAAACTCATTTATCTTTCCAACTTTATCAGTATCACCAAATTCTGTTGAGTCTTTTCAGTAGTTCTAGAGTTGATGTCCTTATGATTTCCATTATTGTTATGCTATTTTATGGGTTATATCAGAGTCATTAAAACTATATTAAGAACCTCTTACCTTAAACCTTGATTGACCCTCCAATGATACAATACAATGATACCATTCTGTATTTTTAGAAACCTATATTCATTGTGTTATTACCTAGGAAGACATAGTTAATGCTGCTCTACTCTCTATGAGAGAAAGTTCAAACTTCCAAGTTCTTCATTGGACAGTCTTCCCAATTTAATCCTAACCAACATTGACAGGCTGATTTTTTGTTCCTTTCCATACAATCTCAAGTTCCCAATACATTGTTACTCCAAATAACATTTGAAAGTCCATTACAGTGTCATAACCATCCACTACCTAGATGTCTTCCTCCACTCCCAGTTTGTATTTCTAGTTATACCAGAGTCTAGCTTTTCTGGAAAATATACACTTATACACCAGCCCATTGGCACATTTGCTTCTACCACTCACTGACATTACTGATTGACTGCCATTTTTATCTGATCCTTCCATTTTGTGGCTACCCAGGAAATTACTCCCATATAGTACATGGTTAGTAAGCGCAGTGTAAAGGTCTCCAAAACCACTAGTCATAAAGTACATACAAAAATACAACAAAATAATAGTTCCTATCCAGTAGAATGGTTAAAACCAGAAGGACTGACAACACTTAAGATTGGTGAGGTTATTAAGGCTCTAAAATTTTCATACATTGTCAGTGGCAGGATAAAATGGTATAGCCAATGCTTAGTAATATATGGTAGTAAAAATCAGAAAGTACTTACTGGGGGCATTGAGGTGAATTGATTAGAAAGGGGAATAAGGTAATTTTTAGGGTGATAGAAAAGTTTGCCTTCTTATTTGGTTGTTACACAAATGCATATGTTTGCCAAAACTCATTCAATTGAACACTTGAGATCTGTCTTTTTTTATGTCTTAATTATAACTCAATCAAAGAAAAATTTACTGTCATAAAAAAACTGATATTGAATTTTCTATGGTCATGGAAGATACAGAAGTCTTAGAAAATTGAAGCCCCATGATCCCCAAATCCTAATTTTCTAGATCCCATAATTGGCTAATTTGAGTAATGCTATCTTTTCCCTCTTTGGCATGTCCTCTGAGAACCATGCCAGAGAGCATCTAACAGCCAAAAGGCAGACAGCCAGTGAGAAGAGCAGAGTCTGGATAAAAGGCCTCTGAATAACCAAGAGCTGGCAGCATCTTCGAGTGTCTGCCAACAGATCAGGGGTCAGGGCTGTTGGAGCAAGACAAAATGGAGCATAGCACAAAAGAAGGGCCCTCTTACATGCTTCCAGAAATTACAAAACTCCAGGGAGCACTTGCTGTTCTATCTACTCAGTCAGCACTAACAAACAAAAGGAAGATGAAAGGGGGACAGAAGAAAGCTGCACTAAGACAAAAATGCAATGAGGAAGAAGGCAATCACCACCACCACTGAGATTTCTAGACAAAACTGAATGAGTGTTTCAAGGGGAGATTAAGACATAACACATCAACTTCTACCTGTCAGATGCCATTCTCAGCATTTTAAAGTGATGACATATTATTCTTATAATAATATCATCATATAGTTGCTATTAATATCTGAATTTTGTAGATGAGGAAATTGAGGCAAAAAGAGATGAGATAACTTAAAAATATATGATCATATAACTACTAAGCAGTCAGATTCAAATCCAGGCTGAAAGCCAAAATCCATGTTCTCCAAGACTCTAGTATTATCCTGTCTTTGTTTAGATTCTCTCTGTATCAGAGTCTAAAATACAGTCTCTTTTACTCGGGGGAGGGGAAGGATTTTGATTTTTGGTGAGTGTTGAGAATACAAGGAAAATGCAAAAATCAAGAGGAAAGGGACAGTGTGATTGAGTCAAAAACTGAAAAAAAAAATCTATATAAATATTATAAATATAAATATGCGTATTGAGATTTATGCTACAAGGTTAGATAGTGCCGAATCCTGGGATCTCTGAGAAGTATTCAAAATACCACGTTGAAAGAAAAGAGACTGGAGTATATATCAATTGGCTTTTGTCCCCCACTGGGTAAGTCCTGCCTTGAAAGATTTATCACCCTCAATGCTTCCAAACTGTGTTTGGACATGGCAGAAGAATTTCTATTGGCATCAGAGAAGGTCCTGAGGCAGACAGTAGAAAGACACACAAGCAAACTCAGGTAGTATGCTGTGACTTTGGTGAGTAAGAACTTCCACATCATTGCAGTTAAAATCAGCAATGAACCAGGGATGGTTTG